GAGCTAAAAATATTTTATACGTACATTTTTATATCGGCAATGAAGATGTTTTAAGGGTTGAAAACAGGGGTTGAAAAGTCATATTTTGAGTGGCAAAATATACATATCATGATCATTAAAGAAAGTTTAATTAAAATCATTATTTCATTATTTAAAAAATGTTTGACACTTCTTTCTTAATTTCCTAAAAGATACTGCTCGGTAGAAATTACCGTTATAAACCTTTTTGAATGGGGTGAGTGAAACCTTTAACCCTTTAAGAACCAAATATACAAAATTTTTGCATGATTTCACAACCAATTTTTCAAAGTGATTTGAATCGCTTGAAACTTGTTACTCGGGGGTTTTCGGGGTCGCTGATTACGAATTCGATGTCAGTTTTTCAAAATTTAAAATGGCGGATCCAATATGGCGGAAGATATTTTGAAAATCAACTGCAATTTGATTGAAACTTGTTACTCGGGGGTTTTCGGGGTCGCTGATTACGAATTCGATGTCAGTTTTTCAAAATTCAAAATGGCGGATCAAATATGGCGGAAGACATTTTGAAAATCAACTGCAATTTGATTGAAACTTGTTACTCGGGGGTTTTCGGGGTTGCTGATTACGAATTCCATTAAAAATTGGAAAATTGAAAATGTCGGATTTAATATGGTGGGCGAAAAATTGTAAAAGGGGTGATTAAAATTTCGTAACGAAACTCATGTAGAATAGATAAAAAATAAAGTATCTGTGGATTTTTAAGGTTCCTAATTAGGATTCTAAAACCAATTTTCAAAATTGCAAAATATTCGTAATCAGCGACCCCGAAAACCCCCGAGTAACAAGTTTCAATCAAATTGCAGTTGATTTTCAAAATGTCTTCCGCCATATTGGATCCGCCATTTTGAATTTTGAATAACTGACATCGAATTCGTAATCAGCGTCCCCGAAAACTCCAGAGTAACATGTTTCAAGCGATTCAAATCACTTTGAAAAATTGGTTGTGAAATCATGCAAAAATTTTGTATATTTGGTTCTTAAAGGGTTAAAGGTTTCACTCACCCCATTCAAAAAGGTTTATAACGGTAATTTCTACCGAGCAGTATCTTTTAGGAAATCAAGAAAGAAGTGTCAAACGTTTTTTAAATAATGAAATAATGATTTTAATTAAACTTTCTTTAATGATCATGATATGTATATTTTGCCACTCAAAATATGACTTTTCAACCCCTGTTTTCAACCCTGAAAACATCTTCATTGCCGATATAAAAATTTACGTATCAAATATTTTTAGCTCCTCTAAAAAATGCGCAAAGACTCAAGTCAATCGGCGATTGGTACATGGGTAGTGTTACTTGTAAGTAACAAGTTTCAAGAAAATCCGAACAAGTTTAAAAAAATTTTTTACCGCCATATTGGATTCACCATTTTGAATTTTGAAAATCTGACATCAAATTCGTAATCAGCGACCCCAAAAATCTCCGAGTAACAAATGTCATGCAAAATATCAAAGAATTTAAAAATTTTCGACCGCGACATATTGGATCCGCCATTTTTAATTTTGAAAAATTTACGTCTGTTTCGTAATCAGCATGACACGAAACTGCAATTTTCTTTTCTTAAATATCCATTTTTTTTTGAGTGTTACAAAAAATTAAAAAATACTGAAATATTCCCTTTAAACGAATTCGTTGTTTCGTCTCTTTGTCATACCCCATCCTACCCTAAATATATATTAAGAAAATTACAATATATAACATAAGACAATATTAAACTTAACAAAAATTAAAAACAGGAAAAAACAAAAAACTAGCATATATAATGAAAAATAAAATATAATAAAAGAAAATGTAATAATATTAACGTTAGATATTATATAGGATAATTAATGAAAAGATAATAAGATAATAATTAATTGAACATACAAATATACTAAAACAAAAAAGAAATGAAAATGAGACGCAATTTTATATGACAATGATGATATAATAATTATTATTTTGTGAATGTGGCAAAGTGAATATATGCTTATTTATATTTGTTTATAGGGAGTTAATTTAAAAAAAAAAGAAACAAAAAATATTAGCCATTAGCAAACAGAAGAATTGCTGAGTCCTTGCACATAAACACACACTACAATAATACCAGCACGAGCCCCATGTGAAACAAAACGAATGTATATTGTATATGCGAAAAAAACAAGAAAACAATTTAATAGTCAACAGCCAAGATTGGCAGACATTCACAAATCATTAGAACGAAAGACTGATTAATGAAATATTACTTGAAATGAACATTATACAAAAAGGTCAATGATCTTTGTAATTTACTGATGCATAGTTAGATATATATCTTTCTAATTTCCTTAATAATAGATAAATAAAAGTAACAACAAAAAAAAGTTAAATAAAAAAACATCTTCCACAGTTTTTATTAATAAAAATTTTTTTTTAAAATAATTTTAAAACAATGTTTTTTTGTAAAAACGGTTACTGTGAAAACAGTTAACTTAGTAACAGTTAACTCAGTAACAGTTAACTCAGTAACGGTTAACTTAGTAACACTTAACTCAGTAATAGTTAACTCATTAACGGTTAACTTAGTAACGGTTAACTTAGTAACAGTTAACTCAGTAACGGTTACCTCAGTAATAGTTAACTTAGTAACGGTTAACTTAGTAACGTTTAACTTAGTAACGGTTAACTTAGTAACGGTTAACTTAGTAACGGTTAACTTAGTAACGGTTAACTTAGTAACGGTTAACTTAGTAACGGTTAACTTAGTAACGGTTAACTTAGTAACGGTTAACTTAGTAACGGTTAACTTAGTAACGGTTAACTTAGTAACGGTTAACTTAGTAACGGTTAACTTAGTAACGGTTAACTTAGTAACGGTCAACTTAGTAACATTCAACTTAGTAACGGTTAACAAAGTAACGGTTAGCTTAGTAACAGTTAACTTAGTAACGGTTATCTTAATAACGGTTAACTTAGTAAAGGTTAAAATAGTAACGGTTAACAAAGTGACGGTAAACATAGTAACGGTTAACTTAGTAACGGTTAGCTTAGTAACGGTTAACTTAGTATCGGTCAACTAAGTAACAGTCAACTTAGTAATGGTTAACAAAGTAACGGTCAACTTAGTTGCGGTCAACTTAGTAACGGTTAACAAAGTAACAGTTAGCTTAGTAACAGTTAACTTAGTAACAGTTAACTTAGTAACGGATAACTTAATAACGGTTAACAAAGTAACGGTTAACATAGTAACAGTTAACTTAGTAACGGTTAACTTAGTAACAGTTAACTCAGTAATAGTTACCTCAGTAATAGTTAACTTAGTAACGGTTAGCTTAGTAACGGTTAACTTAGTATCGGTCAACTAAGTAACTGTCAACTTAGTATCGGTCAATTAAGTAACCGTCAACTTAGTAACGGTCAACTTAGTAACGGTTAGCTTAGTAACGGTTAACAAAGTAACGGTTAGCTTAGTAACAGTTAACTTAGTAACGGTTTACTTAGTAACGGTTAACTTAATAACGGTTAACTTAGTAACGGTTAACTTAGTAACGGTTAACATAGTAACAGTTATCTTAGTAACGGTTAACATAGTAACGGTTAACAAATTAACGGTAAACATAGTAACGGTTAACATAGTAACGGTTAACAAAGTAACGGTTAACATAATATGGGTTAACATAGTAACGGTTATTATACGAAAATAATTAACTTAGTAACAGTTAACATGATATCGGTTAACATAGTAACGATTAACATGACAACGGTTAACATAGTAACGGTTAAGATATTAATATTTACTATGGTTACTTTTAACATAGTAACTGTTAACAGAGTAACGGTTACTACGAAAAGGGATAACATGGTTAGCAATAGTTATACCACAGCAACTGTTAACATAGTAATAGTTACTATAGTAAGGGATAACAGAGTAACGGTTACTAAAACGATAATATTGTAAAAGTTAACAAAGTAATGGTTACCTTGAGAACTGTTACTATTACAATGATTAACATATTAACGGTTACTATGAATATGGTTAACATAGCGATATTTATTATAGTAACGTTTAACATACTAAGGGTCAGTTTCACCAACTCCGGTTAAAAGTTAATCAGCGATTAAATCCTTAACCGACCAATCATGAGCGGTTAAATTGGCTTTAATCGCTGATTAACTTTTAACCTGAGTTGGTGAAACTGGCCCTAACAGTTGCTATGGTAACACTTAACATAGTAATGTTTATCATAGCAACGGTTACTATAACAACTGTTACACGGTGGGTTACCATAGAAACGGTATATTTTTTGAAAATTTTTCATAAATATTCTAAAATCTCATTTGAATTTAAATTTATAATAAAAAGTGCAATATTCTTCTCTCTCAACGCGTTAGTTAGTAAAATAGGGAAAAATTAAAGTTTGGATAATGAAAAGTTAGAATTAAAATTCATTCATAAAGATGATAAATTTGAATAAATGTAATTAAAAAAAAAAAACAACAATGAAATATGTCTAACAGCATCAGAATATCAAGATCGTGCCATTAGTGGCGTAGGCTTATTATTATTATTATTATTGTGTTAAATTAATAATTGACTCGTTATTGAGTTTTTTCAAGACAAGTTAGAAGTTAGGTTCAAGTTCGCGTGGAGCTGGTAGCGTGACGCTGCTTAACACACGAACTCTGATCCAAACAGATCTTTGTTAAGGTTGGCATTACAAAGCTTCAAGTCACACTCACAAAAAAACAACAACAACGACAACAGTTTGGAAGTAGGTAACAAGGTTAGGTCAGGTTTCTCAAAAAAAAAAAAAATTCCACGAACTAGTGATCTTAATCACATAAAACGTGGGATTTTTTTTTAATCATATATATATATTTTTTAAAAATTTTAAAAAGCTGAAGAAAATTGGATTTTGGTTCATTAGTCAAGCAGCGTTTTTTTTAAACTTCTCACAAGATTTTTTTTTTTTGTAGTGCGATTTTTGCATTAGGACTCACCGATTCTCTTGACGTGGACATCACGATTGAAGGAGACACTTCTTTCAGTGGGCTTCCAACCGGAAGGGGAAGTAGCGTCATGTAGCGAATCAATTTTTTCAGTTGAATTATGTGATGCCTTGCCTCCCTCAATGGCGGATCTCAGTGAGTCTGTGCGTTGAATTTCGGGCATTTTTTTTTCGTTTCTTTTATATGTTTATTTCCACTCATAACATATACACACACATAAACAGGTGGTATAATCCAAGAGTTCTTTATCTCACTCTCTCTCTCTCTGCCCTTTTTTTCTTTTCAACAAAGATCCGCCAACAAGTTTATATCTCAATTTGCCACAAACATTTAAAATTTTCAAATTTTTGTTTTCCTCGCTCTCTTACTCACATTTAGTTTTAATTATCTTCGTTCACCAAAAAATTCTCCAAAAACCTGTAAATCAAGTGTTTAACTATTCAAAAATTGTTTACTAATAAAATTAAAAGATGAAATTAAAAATGAAATAAACAAAATTTTTGAAAGGAGAGTTGTCTTGGTTGAAACAGTAGTTCAGGTCGGAAAATTACTATAAAAATAGTAGAAAAAAGTAATGTTCCGACTTTGACTATACTCTTCTTCTACTGGCCAACAAAACGTCGGAAAACGGTTTTTTCCCATTTTCTGACCCAAAATTTCCGACCGCGTTTTTTTTTATTTCCAACTAACATGGAGAGAAAAACTTATTTTCCGACTGAATTAGTCAAGGTTGGAACAGTGGTCGGAAAAATGGTTATTCCGATACTAATGCATTTTTTTACAATAGCAAGTTGTGAACAAAGTTGTTTTGACCTATAGACCTGCTCTTCTACTGACTTCATTCAGGTCAGACTACTCTTCTTCACATCGATCTAGTTCCAATAAAAATATTCCGACCCCGTTTTTTCTATCCTACCACTAGCATTGTGTATAATACAAAGTGTTCCGACCTAAACTATTGTTTTACTATTGGATAACAAAAGGTTGGAAAACTGTTGTTCGATATTTCGGACCTAGAATTTCCGACCTCGTTTTTTCCTACTAAACAAATAGAGGTCAAAATAATGATATTTATATTGCTATATTTCTAACTGAGAATTTCTGACTATGTTTTTCCAATTTCTAACTAATACGATGAGAAAAACTTGTTTTCCGACCTACACACATTCGATTCTATTAATTTAGGTTGGGACGGAAAACTAATTTTCACCGACTGCTAACATTGACTAGCACGTTGTGGTCGGAAAACTGCTATTCACTTAGCGCAATTTCTAACCTTAGATTTCCGACCACATTTTCTTATTACTCTCTTAAACCGTGTCAAGAAGTAGTTTTCTGACCCATACTGCTCTTCTAAAATTGACCTATAGTATAGTGGTTGGAACACTACAATTTATATCACTTTAGTTTCTAACCTAGATTACTGCTTTGCTATTGACTCAGTCTTGGTCGGAAATTTGCTACTCAGCACTATTTCCAACCGCATTTTTTGCTATTGTTAACGAGCGAGGGGTGAAAATTGTAATTTTCTGACCTAGACTACTGCTTTGCTACTGATTCAGTCTTGGTCGGAAAAATTGTTATTCACTCTTCTCTATTTCCGATCACATTTTTTCCTATTTTCCATTAGCGCGAAGTGAAAATCATATAGTTTTCCAACCAAAAAAATATTTTTTCCTAAAATAGCGTAGGTCGGAACACAAGTTTTCACATACCGCTATTTCCAGCCCAGTATTTTGAAAACATATTTTTTTTCTTTTTTTTTGACTAACACGATTATAAAAAAACGTAGTTTTCGAACCTAGACTACTGTTACACCTTAGATGACTCTCCTCTCTATATATAAATTTAAAAAATAACATTCTCATCATGATTTAAAATTATTTATCATTTTTTCCATTTTTTTTTGAAAGTGATTATTATAGTGGGCAGGGGAATTTGCATCACGTGCTCAGTATGGAGGAGAGGAGTCTTTATACGAATTAAGATGCATCAGACACTTTTTACGTTTGGGGGCCAGGCATCTCTCGCCCTTGAAGACAATGGGGGTCATCTCACAAGGCCATCTTCCTACGACACCGGGGTTCGCGGCACATGCGCGTGAGACTGTAATTCAAGCTCTTTATTTGTCCGTAGACCTTTTTCGAAGCAGCCAGATTTAAATGAGACAATACACATGGTTTGCGATCATGGGGCGGGATTAAGATGCTGCGCTGTGAAAAGCCATATTTGGCATCGATCCACGCACACAGAAACACACGCTCAACTCCCAATGGAATCTCTTCAATGCTTTTTTGCTCTAATGTTAAAAATGACATTAAGATATTCAGAGTCGGCTGTTGTACAAGGGCTGTCGCCTCGAGCGTCAAAAATAAGTAAAAACGATTTCAGAATTTATATTAAAGAAAAATTGTTGCCTATATAATATTAAGATAATAAGTGAATGTGTGTGTGTCTGTTTTGTTTAGATTGTAACTCTATTAAGGTCGGAATTTTTTTAAAACAAAATTTATTCAAACCGACATTTTCCGACCGCATTTTTTCATATTTTCAAATAGTGTGTTGTGTAAAACATTGTTCTGACCTAGGCTATTGTTTTACTATTAACCAACTAAATGTCAGAAAATTGCTGTTCACATCACGCTACTTCTAAACTAGAATTTCCGACCGTCTTTTTTAATTTCCAACTAAGATGATGAGAAAAATTTGATTTCCGACCCAAACTACTGTGTTTTTACTAAATTATTCAAGGTCAAAACAACTATTTGCGTCAGGCTATTTCTAACCTAGAATTTCCGACCGTATGTTTTCGTATTTCCGACTAACATGATGAAAAAAACGAAAAACTTTTTTATTTCTACTGGAATTTCTGACCGCGCGTTTTAACATATATTTCTAACTAAAACGTAGAGAAAAACTTATTTTCCGACCTTCACTACTGAATTAGTAGAGGTCGGAACACTGATTTCCACATCGCGCTACTTCTAAACTAGAATTTCCGACCGTCTTTTTTAATTTCCAACTAATATGATAAGAAAAATTTGATTTCCAACCCAAACTACTGTGTTTTTACTAAATTATTCAAGGTCAAAACACTACTATTCGCATTGGGCTATTTTTAAACCAGAATTTCCGACCGTATATTTTCGTATTTCCGACTAACATGAAGAAAAAAACGAAAAACTTTTTTATTTCTACTGGAATTTCTGACCGCGCGTTTTAACATATATTTCTAACTAAAACGTAGAGAAAAACATATTTTCCGATCTTCACTACTGAATTAGTAGAGGTCGGAACACTGATTTCCACATCGCGCTACTTCTAAACTAGAATTTCTGACTGCGTTTTTTATTTCCAACTAACATGATGAGAAAAATTTGATTTCCGACCCAATCTACTACGTTTTTACTAAATTATTCAAGGTCAAAACAACTATTTGCATCAGGCTATTTCTAACCTAGAATTTCCGATCGCATATTTTCTTATTTCCGACTAAGACAAAGAGAAAACGAAAAACTTTTTTACTTCTGCTGAATTTCCGACCGCGTTTTTCCATATTTCTAATTAAAACGAAAAGAAAAACTTATTTTCCGACCTTCACTATTGCGTTTTTACTGTATTAGTCAAGGTCGGAACTCTGTTTTCCACATCGTGCTGATTCTAATCACATTTTTTTTGGTTCTCTAAAATAGCGGATTGTGAAAACCATTGCGTTGCGAACTTGACAACTATACTTCGCTTCTGACCAACTAAAGGTCAAAACAATCCATTTCATATCGTTCCATTTCTAACCTATAGAATTTCTAACAGCGTTTGATTTAATTTAAAACTAAAAACTTTGTTTTCCGACCTACATTAATTCGATTTAACAAAGTTATAGTGTAGGTGGGAAAACTGGTTGTAATATTGTATTTTACATCGTGCTAATTCCAACAGAATTTTTTCGTTTTGACCGAGAAAAACATTTTGTTCCGACCAAGGCTAATGTTTTATTACTAACCTAGTCTTGGTCGGAATACTGCTCTTTAATTAGCGTTATTTGCAAAATATTCCGACCTCGTTTTTTTCTATTTCCGACTAATACGGTCAGAAAATTTTATTATTAAACGTATAGTGTTTCAACCTGAACTAATGTTTTATTTTTGACCTATTATTGGTCGGAAAACTGCTATTGAGTTAGCACTTTTTCCAACCAAAAACTTCCGACCATTTTTCCGACCTAGACAATTCTTCCCTTAATATTTCTGACTCATTATTAATAGGCTGTGAAAAACAAAAGTTATTTTCCCCTAATATTTCTGACTCATTATTGATAGGCTAAGAAAAACAAAAGTTATTTTAAACAATGATCATTGGACAAAAAAGGTCGCTCTCATATTCCACATATATATTATTCAGCCTGGGCGCCATTTCATCTAAATTCGATCCTAAATAAAATATTTTTACGCTTTTCTGAACTTTATTGATAATAATATATGTCTTCGTTGAAATTCACTGGAATTCTGCGTATCAGACTCTAAACACTCCCTTTGTCTTTTATTGACTGTGATCGAGTTACATGTGTCTTCTACCATGTTCAAATTAGGAATTTCTTGTTTCTCTATGGCAATCGCTCGTGTGTTCATCGAACTGTAAAATGAATTATGCTCTTCACTTCTAATTAGAAGATCGTTTTGTTATTTTGAAATGTGATAAATTTGGAAGTAGAAGAGGGGGGATGGGGAGGGGGGGGGTGAAAAAAGTATAGTAAATATTAAATGTATTTTTGTGACTAATTCCGCGTCTACTTTTTACGAGTTAATTAAAGAAATTTACGTGGAATTTAATTTTTAAAACATTTATTAATATTAAAATAATTAAAAAAACACATTTTCTAAATATTTTTTTTATAATGTTTTTTTGTAACATGTTTTCTAATTTGTTATTACAAAATTCAAAATGGCGGATCTAATATGGCGGAATATTATTTAAAAATTCAACAGATTTGTTTTTCATTTGTTCCCTAGGGGTTTTTGGAGTCGCTGATTATGAATTTGAGGTTAGTTTTACAAAATTTAAAATGGCGTTTCCAATATGACGGATGAATTTTCTAAAAATGATTCAATTTTTTTTTTTAAACTTATTTCTTAAAAGTTTTCTAAGTCACTCATTACGAATCCGATGTCAGTTTTTCAAAATTCAAAATGGCGGATCTAATATGGCGGAAGGTTTTTCCTAAAATTGATCCGATTTGTTTGCAACTTGTTCCCTAGGGGTTTTTAGGGTCGCTGATTACGAATTTGAGGTTAGTTTTTCAAAATTCAAAATGGCGGATCTAATATGGCGGAAGGTTTTTTTCTAAAATTGATCCGATTTGTTTGCAACTTGTTCCTTAGGGGTTTTTAGGGTCGCTGAATACGAATTTGAGGTTAGTTTTA